CAACCCCAATGTCCCTGGGCCCAGGACCCCCCCCCCATGCCCAGCTGGCCTTGTCCCCACAGTCCCCAGCTGCCCATGTCCCCATGTGCCCCCTCCCCACAGGCCCCATTTCTCCCTGTCCCCATGTGCCCCATATGGCTCTGAGCCCCATCCCCTCGTGTCCCATCCCTGCCGTCTCCATTTGCCACTGTCCTCGTGTGTGTCCAACCGGACCCTATGTGCCCTGTATGTCCCTGTCCTCATATGCTCTGTGCTCACAGTCCCCATGTACCCTATATAGCCCTGTCCCCACGTCCTCCTGTGCTCGGTGCCCCTGCGCCCGCAGTCCCATGTGCCCCATGCAGCCCTGTCCCTGTGTCCCCCTGTGCCCACAGTCCCATGTGCCACAGCAGCCCTGTCCCCGTGCTCAGTGTCCCAGCAGCCCTGTCCCCGTGTCCCCCTGTGTCTGGTGCCCCTGCAGCCCTGTCCCCGTGTCCCCCCATGCTCAATGCCCCTGTGCCTGCAGTCCCACATGCTCCATGCAGCCCTGTCCCCATGTCCCCCTGTGCCCGCAGTCCCGTGTGCCCTAGCAGCCCTGTCCCCATGTCCCCGCCATGCTCAGTGCCCCAGCAGCCCTGTCACGGTGTCCCCCTGTGTCTGGTGCCCCACACAGCACTGTCCCCATGTCCCCCTGTGCTTGGTGCCCCATGCAGCCCTGTCCCCATGGGCACCGTGCCCACAGTCCCCACTCAGCCCTGTCCCTGTGTCCCCCTGTGTCCCCCCGTGTCCGGTGCCCCACACAGCCCTGTCCCCGCTTCTCCCCGTGCTCAGTGCCCCAGCAGCCCTGTCTCTGTGTCCCCTCGTGCTCAATGTCCCCGTGCCCGTAGTCCCACGTGCCCCAGCAGCCCTGTCCCCTTGTCCCCTCGTGCTCGATGCCCCCATGCCCGCAGTCCCACATGCCCCATGCAGCCCTGTCCCCGTGTCCCCACGTAGCCCTGTCCCCATGTCCCTCCCATGTCCAGTGCCCCAGCAGCCCTGTCCCTCTGTCCCCTCGTGCTCAATGTCCCCGTGCCCGTAGTCCCACGTGCCCCAGCAGCCCTGTCCCCATGTCCCCCCCTGCCCACAGTCCCCACTCAGCCCTGTCCCTGTGTCCCCCTGTGTCCCCCCGTGTCCGGTGCCCCACACAGCCCTGTCCCCGCTTCTCCCCGTGCTCAGTGCCCCAGCAGCCCTGTCTCTGTGTCCCCTCGTGCTCAATGTCCCCGTGCCCGTAGTCCCACGTGCCCCAGCAGCCCTGTCCCCTTGTCCCCTCGTGCTCGATGCCCCCATGCCCGCAGTCCCACATGCCCCATGCAGCCCTGTCCCCGTGTCCCCACGTAGCCCTGTCCCCATGTCCCTCCCATGTCCAGTGCCCCAGCAGCCCTGTCCCTCTGTCCCCTCGTGCTCAATGTCCCCGTGCCCGTAGTCCCACGTGCCCCAGCAGCCCTGTCCCCATGTCCCCCCCTGCCCACAGTCCCCACTCAGCCCTGTCCCTGTGTCCCCCTGTGTCCCCCCGTGTCCGGTGCCCCACACAGCCCTGTCCCCGCTTCTCCCCGTGCTCAGTGCCCCAGCAGCCCTGTCTCTGTGTCCCCTCGTGCTCAATGTCCCCGTGCCCGTAGTCCCACGTGCCCCAGCAGCCCTGTCCCCTTGTCCCCTCGTGCTCGATGCCCCCATGCCCGCAGTCCCACATGCCCCATGCAGCCCTGTCCCCGTGTCCCCACGTAGCCCTGTCCCCATGTCCCTCCCATGTCCAGTGCCCCAGCAGCCCTGTCCCTCTGTCCCCTCGTGCTCAATGTCCCCGTGCCCGTAGTCCCACGTGCCCCAGCAGCCCTGTCCCCATGTCCCCCCCTGCCCACAGTCCCCACTCAGCCCTGTCCCTGTGTCCCCCTGTGTCCCCCCGTGTCCGGTGCCCCACACAGCCCTGTCCCCGCTTCTCCCCGTGCTCAGTGCCCCAGCAGCCCTGTCTCTGTGTCCCCTCGTGCTCAATGTCCCCGTGCCCGTAGTCCCACGTGCCCCAGCAGCCCTGTCCCCTTGTCCCCTCGTGCTCGATGCCCCCATGCCCGCAGTCCCACATGCCCCATGCAGCCCTGTCCCCGTGTCCCCACGTAGCCCTGTCCCCATGTCCCTCCCATGTCCAGTGCCCCAGCAGCCCTGTCCCTCTGTCCCCTCGTGCTCAATGTCCCCGTGCCCGTAGTCCCACGTGCCCCAGCAGCCCTGTCCCCATGTCCCCCCCTGCCCACAGTCCCCACTCAGCCCTGTCCCTGTGTCCCCCTGTGTCCCCCCGTGTCCGGTGCCCCACACAGCCCTGTCCCCGCTTCTCCCCGTGCTCAGTGCCCCAGCCGGGAGCCGCTCCGGGGCCACCGCGATGACCGGCCCCGGGGCCGCCGCGCGCCACAGGGGCCGCTCCTGCCACAATGGCGCCCTCGGGACCCGCTCTGGAGGGCGGCGATGACAGCGGGACCCGCCTTGGGGACACCGGGGCCAGGACTGAGCCTGTGGGATCCCCTCCGAGGGGACGATCGGAAGCCACCGGGTCCTGCTCTGGGGTCACTCTGCGATGACAAAGGACCCAAGGAAGGAGGTGACCCTGGTCCCGCTCTGCCGCCTCTCCCTGGGGTCCCCGCTGGGGACAGCGGAGGAGCCACGTGTCCCTCTGCCCTGGGTGGCACTGCAGGACCGCGCGGGGCCGCCCTTGGTGCCACCTCCTGCAGGGCGGCCGCGCGTCACCCAAGGGGCTCTGTGGTGACCGTCACACGGGCGCCTGTGGCACCGCCTGGCACCCGGGCGGGTGACAGAGCTGTCACCACCCCGAGGATGAAAATAAACCCAAAACACTAAAAATGCGTCTGCCCCGCTGCTGGGGAGGGGGCAGCGCAGGGACACGCTGGGGACGTGTCCTGGCGGCGCCACCCCCGCGGCGCCCGCAGGGAGGGCCGCACGCCGGGACCCCGCAGCACCTTTATTGCCGCCGTCGCCGTCACCGTCCCCGCGCGGCGCGGCGCTTGCTGAGCTCGTCCTGCACGCGCTGCTGCAGCGCGCGGCGCAGCGCCGGCTCCAGCGGGCTCCCGGGGGCCCAGCGCCG